TTTACCTCAGTTTTTAAATTTGTACCATTTTTACAGAATTTTATATAGGGTCATTGCTATATTATGTGTATATTGTTTGAATATTTTATATTTGCAACGTATGTCAACATACTTGGCCTTGTGTCCTCAAATAGCTGGATAATTGCTCTCAGAGTTGTATCGGTACGTATATTTATAGGACCATGCTAGGTAATAAAGAATATGTGTTTCAAATGTTTGAAACTATTTCTACACAAGTTGGAGTTGTGGCACTGGAAAAGGCGGTGCCCTCATGACAACTATAATTACATTAGAATAATTTAACAGTACGAATCATATGAGCAATGGATTTGAGAGGATTTACCGACAATTATCAAATTTATTGATTCTTGCTGATATCTATGTTAAAAGGTTGATGTCAGGACGTCAGGTATGTTTTGATATCATGAATAAGGGAGGCGCTGTGAAGGGACTGGGTGGGGAGGGGTAGAAGGAGGGGAACTGTGAATTACGCACAAAGTGTTTGAATTGTCCTGCTCTGCTATTTTTATTTCGATGAATCAATCAGATCCACCATATGCTCGCCATAGATTTGAAATTAAAACACTGAAAACTCACCCAATTCTACACAAGTTGGAGTTGTGGCACTGGAGAAGGTGGTGCCCTCAGTACAGGTGATATTGTCGCTGCCTCTTAGTATGAGCCCTTCTTCACATGACACTGTCAGCACTGTTCCTGCCTCTACCGGGAATGTTGCTTCTTTTGTGAGCTGGCTCCAGGCTGGATCTAGACCAGTGCATGGTACTGTGGAACGTACCATTTTAAGGAAATTGCTAAATCGAAATTGCTTAAAGATAACCAAGTACTCAATTGATCATACAAATTTGTACAAAAACATTTCACTTATGATATTACATTCTGTTCAGATTCACAGCGAACATTTTAGATGACCTCAGTTGCACTGGGTATAATAGTGATCAGTTGAATTGCACAAATCACTACTTATAATTGTGCACAAATCATTATGCTTTAGGGAGAAAATTACCAATTAGTTCATAACTGTAGTGCGTGGAAACTTTATCGTTATTATAAGATACTTGACCGTGGAATCTCAATCCTGCCATTTCATTCCTCATATCACACGTGTCACCAGCATACACCCAAATCACCTCCAGAACGTCATCAAACCAGATTTGTAGCTGAGTGGACGTCTTCAGGAAGGTCAGAACACCAGCTCGTTTGAGGAACTCCTCTGTTCCTTTCAGGTTGTATTTATCGCATTTAGGAACATCTATGTAGTCCGGCAGGAATTTGAACCAGTTTACTCCTCCCAACGTCCATCTGATGTGCTTAGATGCAGTTATTTGCTGATCAGTTTCCATCTGGAACCTCTTACCCTCCACTATTTCGTATACATATGTGCTTTTGTCCTCGGGAACTGGGATCCACTCACTGTACAGGGTTCCTAAAATATAAATAGAAGATTAAAATTTGTCCCATCTGAAAAATGGATAACCTGGAAGCCTAATATATGTACTATAGATTTTATTAATGGAGATCTTTATTGCGTCACGACGTATTGTGATAAACTCAGTTTTATATCAAAACAAACCTTCAGCAGTGGTAATTGAGTGTCCGAGTAAAATTGTAGCTATGGCTACAGCGATTGTTGCCATACCTATTCTTGACTGTGGAATATTTTATATAATTAACTTAATTTAATCGAATTTAATTGTTTTGTAGACTATAGTTTTTTATTTTGCAGTATTTAAAAAAAAGTATCATGGGTTAATGTATAAGCTAAATAAACAGATAGTCAGTTATTTTAATTTTTAACTAAGATAAAATAGACGTGGATTTTGGGGGGCTGGGGGAGCTTAGGCATAATTGTTGTCGCACGACAGCAATTAACCAATAAAAAATTAACATGGAAGTGAAAGTGAATATGAAAGTGAATATGAAAGTGAAAGTGAAAGTGAAAGTGAAAGTGAAAGTGAAAGTGAAAGTGATTATAACTAATAACTACAGAGCCATAAAAACTGAAGAAACAACACGTTAAAAAAGCATCATCTGATTGACACTGCATCAAGGTGTCCAATTAGTCTATAGTCAAGGGTAACAACCAAGCATTCAAACTTAAACACCTGCACGATATAGATGAAGGGACTCACTGTACCCACTGCACCTGTGAACATGCACTGTTTGAAGCTGGCCAGTACGTTGAGAAGTTCACATCATGGGACTGGATACAAAAACAAGGATTTGTCGGTTTATAAGAGCATAAGTAGGAGGTGCACGCGCGGCGCTACTAAGAGCATAAGGAACTCACGTGCGAGGTTTCTCTAGACGGTAGCTAAAAACTTCCCCAAATGTCAACTCTGAGACTGAGAGTATATGCTAACGATCTTATTGTCTGGTTACATGTTCACAGAGCGACAGGTGAGAGGTGCCACTGAAGGTTCAGTGTAAGTAACAATAACTCCTTTTGTCACCATATTCCAGACACAACTAAACACTTTTATAAACCTGAACCCGGAGGACCACGGAGGGGTTAGCACAGGTTTCATTGGTCCCTCAGCTTCTCAACAGCTGAACTAATGTTATTAGTATGTACTATAAGTAGCAGGTTTAGGCTTACAACTAGCTCTGCAGAGGAATGAAGCGGGTGAACTAAAATCTTTAGTAATAGTAGGGCGTGGGTTTGTTTGCAGGGATCATTATTCTGTGAGAGCAGTAGACTGTCAGAGTGCACAGTACCGTTAGAAATATATATGGTGTGATCACAGGATTGTTAGCAGCGTGGCGGTATGGTGTGTACGATATTTTTCTACTTTTAAGGTCTGTAATTCCAAGGTATTTAATTGATGAAGGGTCCATAGCTCATAGCTGGGTGCCATAGTGCCAAAGTTAGAATGTTCTGATTGATCAAGGGTCACTTTTAATTAAAACTTGTTTACAGGAGAACAGATGCAGTGGAAGTGAGAGAGCAGGGTTATCTACTCAGGGAGAAGTAGGGGATGGTAACTTCTGGGAGAACAACGTCGCTCACGGCTGTCTCTGGGGTATCTTTATAAGAAAGTGAGAGAAGTTAACTTTCATTTTTTCACCTCATTATTGGAAGTATTTTTGTTTAAACAAGTTTCTTGGTATGATAAAGACCAAACGAAAATATCTGATAATGCAATCCTCTGCTACCAGGGCGAAGATTGAAGTTACAAAGCTGAACAATGTGATTCTCTGGCAGAATTACGACTTCGGAGTTGTTCACTGGTCTGGATCTTCCCTAGTCATCCAGAATAATTTTTTTGCTGACAACGGATTTTCAGTCTTTGCTATGGTCGTTGGACCCAACCCTCTATCGTAAGATGATATTTATTCTTGATCCTTTCATGCGATATCATCATTCTACATTTGTATCGATCAGTCTGATACAGTGATACTATGTAAGATGATATTACTGCTCGCTGATATCTTTTTGTCCATAACACTAACTAAACTATAAACAAGTATGCCTACAATTCGACACTTCTCGTCTGATATTTTCAGAAATTTTAAATGATAGTGATTGGTAAACAAACTCCTTTCTAAAACTCCATGGTTACTATGGTTACTATGGTTAAAACACCCAATCACTTTCAGACACTCGCTGAATAACAAGTACGTTGAGTACAAGAACACCCTGATATACGGTAGGAACGCTCAAAGTGCGTGTGATGAGAGAACAATAGAACCCAACTGCTAAACCACACACCATCTGCAGGTACACTCTTTAAAATTAGTGTATTCTTTATAGACACATTTTTGTTGAAATATTAACGATAATCAGCGACAATTGTCCAGTTTAAGGATTAAATTTTTCAGGGAAAGGTGGACGTATTGGGATTTACCTCAGCAACTTCTTTGCGGGATTTTCCGGCAGGCCGAAGAAGCCTATTTATAAGCCAATGAGCTACTCTGCCATCAAGGGCCTCACCACTTTAACTGGTTAGTTATTTGCGCATGAGAAACTGTTTTAGTTTTGCTGTTTTGTTGATTCTTCAAATTGCAGTATATTTTGATTTCCCGATTTCTGAATTCTAACTCATACAATAAACATTTGAAATAATTTTAGAATTTTGTCTTTTATGATAACTTTTAAAATTCGAATCGGATTTCTTCGATCTTTTGTTTAAAAAAAATAGAACCAATTTTCAATAATAAGCTCGTATTAAAGAAGCCATCTTACACTTTGTATTCCAACTCCAGGGGTAACGTTTGCCAACTTTGGTCGCTGCGACGATGTGGCAATCAGTGATCTCCGTGAAAAAGGCGACTGTTTCCACCCGGTTAAACTGAGTGGAATGAAGTACTCCGGAGTGGACATGGAGTCCAACCTCCTCAACATGAACAACCCTCAGTTATCGTTAGTAAACTCAGCAGATTGCGTGGATATGCCCTGTGATGCTAAGAAGAAGATTATTATAACTGATATGGACGGGACTACTCTCGGCAAGGTTTGAACTACAGTGTAAAAGTTGTTTTACCGCCCTAAACGCTTATACGGACGCTTATTTCTCTCCTGACCCATATTTTTTAGTTTGTCCACCATATCCATATATTTGTGCTTTGGGTGAGCTTTATATTTTTTATGTTTTGTTGCTGTCATATAAGAAGAGACAGAACTGGAAGAAACAGAAATGGAAGAGACAGACCTGGAGGAGACAGAACTGGAGGAGACAGAACTGGAAGAAACAAAACTGAAAGGGACAGAACTGGAAGGGACTGGACTGGAGGAGACAGAACTGGAAGAGACAGAACTGTAAGGGACAGAACTAGAAGAGACAGAACTGGAGGAGACAGAACTGGAGGAGACAGAACTGGAAGAGACAGAACTGGAAGAGACAGAACTGGAAGGGACAGGACTGGAGGAGACAGAACTGGAAGAGACAGAACTGGAAGAGACAGAACTGTAAGGGACATAACTAGAAGGGACAGAACAGGAAGAGACAGAACTGGAAGAGACAGAACTGGAAGAGACAGAAATGGAAGAGACAGACCTGGAGGAGACAGAACTGGAAGAGACAGAACTGGAAGAGACAGAACTAGAAGAAACAGAAATGGAAGAGACAGAACTGGAAGAGATAGAACTGGAAGAGATAGAACTGGAAGAGACAGAACTGGAAGAGATAGAACTGGAAGAAACAGAACTGGAAGAGACAGAACTAGAAGAAACAGAAATGGAAGAGACAGAACTGGAAGAGATAAAACTGGAAGAGATAGAACTGGAAGAGACAGAACTAGAAGAAACAGAAATGGAAGAGACAGAACTGGAAGAGATAGAACTGGAAGAGATAGAACTGGAAGAGACAGAACTGGAAGAGATAGAACTGGAAGAGATAGAACTGGAAGAGATAGAACTGGAGGAGACAGAACTAGAAGGGACAGAACTGGAAGAGACAGAACAGGAAGAGACAGAACTGGAAGAGACAGAACTAGAAGAAACAGAAATGGAAGAGACAGAACTGGAAGGGACAGAACTAGAAGGGACAGAACTGGATGAGACAGAACTGGAGGAGACAGAACTGGAGGAGACAGAACTGGAGGAGACAGAACTAGAAGAGACAGAACTGGAAGAGACAGAACTGGAAGAGATAGAACTGGAAGAGACAGAACTGGAAGAGACAGAACTGGAAGAGATAGAACTGGAAGAGACAGAACTGGAGGAGACAGAACTGGAGGAGACAGAACTGGAAGAGACAGAACTGGAAGAGACAGAACTGGAAGAGACAGAACTGGAAGAGACAGAACTGGAGGAGACAGAACTGGAGGAGACAGAACTTGAGGAGACAGAACTGGAAGAGACAGAACAGGAAGAAACAGAACTAGAAGGGACAGAACTGGAAAATACAGAACTGGAAGAGAAAGAACTGAAGGAGACAGGACTGGAAGAGACAGAATTGGAAGAGACAGAACTGGAAGGGACAGAACTGGAGGAGACAGAACTGGAAGAGACAGAACTGGAGGAGACAGAACTGGAAGAGACAGAACTGGAAGAGACAGAACTGGAAGAGACAGAACTGGAAGTGACAGAACTGGAAAAGACAGAACTGGAAGGGACAGAACTGGAGGAGACAGGACTGGAAGAGACAGAACTGGAAAAGACAGAACTGAAAGGGACAGAACTGGAAGAGACAGAACTGGAGGAGACAGAACTGGAGGAGACAGAACTTGAGGAGACAGAACTGGAAGAGACAGAACAGGAAGAAACAGAACTAGAAGGGACAGAACTGGAAAATACAGAACTGGAAGAGAAAGAACTGAAGGAGACAGGACTGGAAGAGACAGAATTGGAAGAGACAGAACTGGAAGGGACAGAACTGGAGGAGACAGAACTGGAAGAGACAGAACTGGAAGAGACAGAACTGGAAGAGACAGAACTAGAAGAGACAGAACTGGAGGAGACAGAACTGGAAGAGACAGAACTGGAAGAGACAGAACTGGAAGGGACAGAACTGGAAGAGACAGAACTGGAGGAGACAGAACTGGAAGAGACAGAACTGGAAGGGACAAAACTGGAAGAGACAGAACTGGAAGAAACAGAACTGGAAGGGACAGAATTAGAAGGGACAGAACAGGAAGAGACATAACTGGAAGAGACAGAACTGGAAGAGACAGAACTAGAAGAGACAGAACTGGAGGAGACAGAACTGGAAGAGACAGAACTGGAAGAGACAGAACTGGAAGAGACAGAACTGGAGGAGACAGAACTGGAGGAGACAGAACTGGAGGAGACAGAACTGGAAGAGACAGAACTGGAAGAGACAGAACTGGAAGAGACAGAACTAGAAGAGACAGAACTGGAGGAGACAGAACTGGGAGAGACAGAACTGGAAGGGACAGAACTGGAAGAGACAGAACTGGAAGGGACAGAACTGGAGGAGACAGAACTGGAAGAGACAGAACTGGAAGAGACAGAACTGGAAGAGACAGAACTGGAAGGGACAGAATTAGAAGGGACAGAACAGGAAGAGACATAACTGGAAGAGACAGAACTGGAAGAGACAGAACTAGAAGAGACAGAACTGGAGGAGACAGAACTGGAAGAGACAGAACTGGAAGAGACAGAACTGGAAGGGACAGAACTGGAAGAGACAGAACTGGAGGAGACAGAACTGGAGGAGACAGAACTGGAAGAGACAGAACTGGAAGAGACAGAACTGGAGGAGACAGAACTGAAAGAGACAGAACTGGAAGAGACAGAACTGGAGGAGACAGAACTGGAGGAGACAGAACTGGAAGAGACAGAACTGGAAGAGACAGAACTGGAAGAGACAGAACTGGAAGAGACAGAACTGGAGGAGACAGAACTGGAGGAGACAGAACTTGAGGAGACAGAACTGGAAGAGACAGAACAGGAAGAAACAGAACTAGAAGGGACAGAACTGGAAAATACAGAACTGGAAGAGAAAGAACTGAAGGAGACAGGACTGGAAGAGACAGAATTGGAAGAGACAGAACTGGAAGGGACAGAACTGGAGGAGACAGAACTGGAAGAGACAGAACTGGAAGAGACAGAACTGGAAGAGACAGAACTAGAAGAGACAGAACTGGAGGAGACAGAACTGGGAGAGACAGAACTGGAAGGGACAGAACTGGAAGAGACAGAACTGGAAAAGACAGAACTGAAAGGGACAGAACTGGAAGAGACAGAACTGGAAGAGACAGAACTGGAAGAGACAGAACTGGAAGGGACAGAACTAGAAGGGACAGAACAGGAAGAGACATAACTGGTAGATACAGAACTGGAAGAGACAGAACTAGAAGAGACAGAACTGGAGGAGACAGAACTGGAAGAGACAGAACTGGAAGAGACAGAACTGGAAGGGACAGAACTGGAAGAGACAGAACTGGAGGAGACAGAACTGGAGGAGACAGAACTGGAAGAGACAGAACTGGAGGAGACAGAACTGGAGGAGACAGAACTGAAAGAGACAGAACTGGAAGGGACAGAACAGGAATAGACATAACTGGAAGAGACAGAACTGGAAGAGACAGAACTAGAAGAGACAGAACTGGAGGAGACAGAACTGGAAGAGACAGAACTGGAAGAGACAGAACTGGAAGGGACAGAACTGGAAGAGACAGAACTGGAGGAGACAGAACTGGATGAGACAGAACTGGAAGAGACAGAACTGGAAGAGACAGAACTAGAAGAGACAGAACTGGAGGAGACAGAACTGGAAGAGACAGAACTGGAAGAGACAGAACTGGAAGGGACAGAACTGGAAGAGACAGAACTGGAGGAGACAGAACTGGAGGAGACAGAACTGGAGGAGACAGAACTGGAAGAGACAGAACTGGAAGAGACAGAACTGGAAGAGACAGAACTAGAAGAGACAGAACTGGAGGAGACAGAACTGGGAGAGACAGAACTGGAAGGGACAGAACTGGAAGAGACAGAACTGGAAGGGACAGAACTGGAGGAGACAGAACTGGAAGAGACAGAACTGGAAGAGACAGAACTGGAAGAGACAGAACTGGAAGGGACAGAACTAGAAGGGACAGAACAGGAAGAGACATAACTGGTAGAGACAGAACTGGAAGGGACAGAACTGGAAGAGACAGAATTGGAAGAGACAGAACTGGAAGAGACAGAATTGGAGGAGACAGAACTGGAAGAGACAGAACTAGAAGAGACAGAACTGGAAGAGTATGACCAATTAGTTAACTATTAATGGCATATGACACGATTGGGGTACTGGAAGTATGATTTCCTCGGCTCTCCGAGAAGTTTGTTAAATGGGTGAACAGCTAAAAGGGTTACGACTTGACGACAACTTTGCTTGGAGCTATTCATCCTCACTTGCTCCTTAAAGCGTCCCTGTCGTCATGGCGACAACGTTACTCTCTCGATATCAGGTCACTGTTGCCCTGGTAACAACATTACTCTTCTAATAGCAGGTATATTATCATCTTTACTTTGTGTTCATATTCAATTAATGAGAGGTCCACATGATAGAGCTGCATCGCGTACACCTTTGCTTGTTAATAGCTGGAACTGTACAATTGTTTGTGTGCTGGAGTGGGTTACTGATAATGTTCACACATTCATCCACTTACTTAGCTTAAACTAATTTTACTGTTTGTATGAAATTGTTATGTTTTGACATTTTGATCTGATTTTGTTTCATATGTAGAGTTGAGGACCCGTGACAGATTCTTGAGACGGCTACAAGGCTTGTATTAGGGGATGAATTTCGTAAAAGGTCTGTTTGACTCTGACAAAGAGTCAGAATCGGGGTCAGCTCGAGCAAGTCGAAAGAAAATGAATGAAGATTTCGAGAAAGCTGACAAGTATAATAACAGCAGGAAGAAGACCAAATCGGGCGATGCTGATATTGATGGTGTCCCCCGACGTCCGAAAAGATCTAATAAAGTGGACCCCATGGAGTGTGAACCTAGACCTATCGAACATAGCATTCCCATGGAGAATATGGATTATTCTGAAGAGAGAGCCACCATGCCTCCCAGATCGAAATCTCGAGCAGTGATGCTACCCAGTGGCTTGATTATCGGCTCAGACGACGATTCTTCGATTCATACTTCCAGTCTTAGTTCCCACTCCTCTGATAGTTTTCATCCCAAAAACAAACTGGCCCACATGATCGGCTTGGAAGTGGAAGACGTTGACAATGGTAAATCAAGTTACATGTTGATGTTTTTCTTCGGATCTTTTGTTTTATTTAAGTTTATTTGATACAACCGGTTGTCTAACAGTCCGCTTATGTGATTCATGATTCAATGTTTGGCTTTCACTATTTTATTCTTCAACAGGCCTCACTGAAGACGATAGAAAGACCAGTTCGATCAAACGAAAAATCAGAACTCTGGATGGGGCGGGTAAGAGGAAATCCTCTGCCAACCTCGGACGAAGTGTTTCCGCCCCAGCCCAAGGGAAGCTATCCTTGGCGGAAAGAAGAACGTTACGTCGAGCAGAGAAAGTTGGTGTTGTGGAGAAGAAATCGCTTCCTTTCTGTACACAAATCGGTTATGAATTCACCATGGGAGTACAAAAAAGTGTACGAAAAATCCGGGAATTTTTTAGAAACGCACAAATTTGGGGTCGGTCTATAAAAGAGGTAGAGGGAAATCTGGGATCGGGAGTATCTACTTATTTCAGAGTTCTAAGATGGCTGCTGAAAATTAACATAATATCCATGGTTATTGCTCTTGGCTTTATTGTGGCTCCTGGTATTTGGATGGCAGAACGTCATACCCCAGATACACCAACACTACTAAACAAAGAGGACCTTAATTGTACCAATCCCAACTTCGTTGAAGGTGATGATACTGCTGCTGATATTAGTAACGCCATCCTCCAATTTTTGACTGGTCAGGGGTGGATGGAGGGAACTGCTCTTTATCTTGGGTGGTATCCCGCTAGCAATATTACTCGGACAAGTGGCACAGTCGAGAAAACTACCTACAACTTTCCTCTAGCGTATCTTGTTGTGGGCCTATTATACTTCCTGGTGGCACTGATCTTCATCCTGAACAATATCGCCAGACTATTCAAAAAGTCGGCTGCTGAAAAGATCGAAACAAAAACGTACGCAGAGTTAGTGCTTGTAGGCTGGGACTTCACCATCAACAACAAAAAAACAGCACAACTTAAAAGCGCAACTGTAGTCAAGTCACTAAAGGAAGCTCTCAGCAACGACGCGCAGAAGTTCATGAAGCGCTCTTACAAAAAGGAAATCGGGCTTATTATCCTGAGAATTTGCACCAACGGAATATCTCTGGCAGCCATGATTGGGACCGTATTTTTGTACTATAGCGAGGTAGTACAGTACACATCAGAATCTGCTGCTAACTCTACCGATATGTGTGGAGAGAAAATCGACAAATCAACCTTCGAGGACATACAGCTCGGTAACTTTTCAACTGAACAATTGTCTGCGGAGGTTGCAAAAGTGTGGTCCTCCTACTCTGCGTCTATCATTGTGTCTCTTTCCAACATTATCTTCCCGATCTTCTTTGAAATTCTGGGAAATTATGAGTTCTACAAATTTCAAAGTACGAGAATTGCCATAACCATGGTCAGGTCGTTTATCATGAAGCTGTTCAATGTGTGTGTCTTCCTTTACGTTCTTTATCAGGCGACAAAATACAGTGGAGATATAAGTAAGTAAATTTACCCCCTGAAAATGAGAAAATCTGCCCCTAAAACATTAAATAAAAGTCTTCAAATATAAATATAACTGGCTGTAGCCAAAATGAAGACTAGCTGTATTATAAAGCCTTTCTTTTCTGACACAAATCATCATTGCTAACATTTCCAGAACAACCCTGGCAGACAGACAACAACACGTTACAATACAACTGCTGGGAGAATTACATCGGAGCTCAACTTTACCAGCTGTGTATTATCGACTTCATCGTGTTTTGTTCGAGTCTGCTCGTGTCGGAAGTACTGCGGAATGTCCTGATCAACAATGTCAAGTGGATTCGAGCCAGGGTGGAGCAGCCAGAGTTTAACATTCCTAAGGAGATACTGGATCTGTGCTATAAGCAAATGATATTCTGGTCTGCTATGTTCTTCTCGCCTCTAATGTCTTGTGTTGCTGTTATCGAGGTTAGTTCACCGTTATACGACTGTTCCAGTTCACATATTACGTAATCAGCTGAGGGGCCGATTTCCAAACGATTACGATAGTGTAATTTTGACACGATAGCTGTGTAAAACTGATTACGGGGGGGGGGGGGGGGGGGGGGGGGGGGGGGGGGGGAGGGGGGGAGGAGGTATAAATTGTCCAAAAAGTGATTACGTAATATGTGAACGACCCCTTTTTTTATTGAAATCTTTCAAATCAGTCAATTACATACAAGTTTACACAATGAATTAGTTAAATATAATATTGTCCTCTAAGCATGGATTTTCAAAGTTGAAGTTGTCTCGGACAAAATGTATGTAACCAAAGGACCTGAGGGTCACCAAAACACAGATATTGAGTGCAAATGCAGCTCCTGCACAAGCATGGGCCCTTATAAAATTGTAATAAGTTACTTTAAACAAAATCACACACCCATTCAATCAATTCATAAAATATTGTGCTGTGAGATGAAATTGAGAAATATGTGAATGCAGACAGCAAGAATAGATAATCTTGAATAAACTATTTTACGGATTTGTTTCTATTGAATAGTCAAGTTCAGAGTCCGAATCCACCGGGATAATTTTCCCCCACATGTAAGTGGAAAGTTTACTTTTAAAATCAGTGATACTCTCTATCTCACGGATATCTAGAGGAATGTGATTCCACTTAGTGTGGGTCCTATAGAAGAAATTCTTGGCAAAAGCGTTGCAGCTTGCTCGAGGTGAGATAGAGCTTACAAAACATAGAGAGTCCATGTGACTATTTCTGAGCCTTGAGTGGCCTTGAAATGGTTGCAAATATGAGGGTAAAGTGACAGGTATATGTTGCTTCACAATTTTAAAGAAGAAGATGAGATCCAAGAAGTCAAAGCGGTCTTCAATCGGCATAATCTTCAGCTGTCTGCATTTTTGAATGTATGTGGATGGTGGATAACTCATATACTCCTCGTGAAGAATCCACTTAATAGCACGCTTTTGGAGGCCCTCCAGCTTGCTTATCTGGGATTTTGTGACTGGTCTCCATATAACCGAGCAATGCTCAAATAGGCTCCTCACTAAAGTGAGATACAGTACACTACGACGATTTACGTCTTGGACAAAATAACAATTTCTTCTCGCCATGCCTAATTT